ATTTGCCAGCATTAGTGACAACGCTTCGGAAATTATTTCAAGTGTTATTATTTTATATTCTTGTCATCAAATTTTGTGACTAGTTTCATAAGATGTCATCTAAACCAGATATGGTGTAAAAGGGGTCCTTATTTTAAGTCTCTTGTTTGTTCCTGTGCTACTATAAAATACATTTTTAATTGTCATGACATGAGCAAATGAAGAAAACGTCATATTGTACTATGAATATAACAATATAAATAGAGTACCTAGAAGTACACTCACATTCTAAAAGGAGACATAATTAGACACTAAGGTGCCCAGTCACTGCAGTCGAGTAACTCTGATATAAAGCATCACTGAGGTAAATGTCAAAAGGTCAGATATGTGTGTAAATTGCTTTGCCATGGCTCATATGGTCCTTTAAGTCTCCTACTTTACCATTATTAAAGATTTGCTTAAATATCACAAATTACAAATGACATTGATTTGATTTTGCAGTCAAATATGTTTTTTTTTTTTACATGCAATTCTCAACTTGTTCACCACAAATATGGCTGTTTTTGCTGTTCAGCAGTAGTAGGCAGCTCATAATTTGTCACACAGCGAGATGGATGGAGGAATTGGGGTTGGATTGCCATAGGAACCTGATATCCAGGCCATTATGTGTTACTATAAATACTGTACCACACTTCTCTTCAACAAGTTTTCAGGACACACGTCCGCCAACGTCCCTCAGTACCAGGACCTCACGGAACGTAAATACGATGAATCGATGAATAACCACACATATGAAAAAATATAAGAGCTATATTTAATCGATGCATGTTGAGCTGCTTTTACATAAGAATAAAACTCAGACCTACTATTTTGGCTTGGCAGACAATAAATCCTATTGCTTAATATTCTATATGTGAAGCATGTTTTGATTCATCAAAGTAAAGGGTTGTTTTGTTTTGTTTTGCACATAGAGATGACATGTTTGTTTGTTGGAGGACCCCGAGGATATTGTTTTTAAAATGTAATCATTCTGTTTTGTTTTGTTTTGTACATGGAGATAATATGTTTGTTTGTTGAAGGACCCTGAGGATATTGTTTTTAAAATGTAATAATTCTGTTTTGTTTTGTTTTGTTTTTAGTTTTGTACATGGAGATAACATGTTTGTTTGTTGCAGGACCCTGAAGAAATTGTTTTTAAAATGTAACTGTTTTATGTTTTGCTTTTGCAGATAGAGATGGCATGTTTGTTTGTGGGAGGACCCTGAGGATTTAAAAAAAAATGTTATCATACAGTTTTTTTTTTGTTTTTGCACAGATGATATGTTTGTTTGTTGGAGGATCCTGAGGAAATATATATACATTGCAGTAATGGAAATCATCAGTATTAGTAGGAATAATAAGAATTAAAAAAAAAAAAAAAACACATTGTATGATGGATCGCTCATGAGCTGCAGCTAAAGATAACTACAGATGTGAAACGGCCTGTAGAGCTACTTTAGCATTGGAATAAACCTCAGACTTTGATTTTGGCCTGGTGGATGAAAAAATGGGGAACAAATCCTTTCGATGTACAACACCCTAGCAATGTCATAGCAACAGCATAGTAAAACCCACTCTCACCACCCTAGCACCCTTACATTGTGGCAATGCCACTGACATTTTCTTCAGAAATATTACAATTTTAGTTTTTACACAATAAACTGTGGATGCCTCATTCGTATATTACGCTCAATTAAGGGGTAGGCCACACGTTTAGTTTCTGGAGTCACACACCTTGATCCACACACAGTTTTGTAGGTACAAGAGTATTTAGCGCAAGTGCTAGACTAACACATTTGCCTGTTCCCTTTCAACAGCTTTACAATGTGGCTCTTCCTGTGAGCCTGAAGCACAAGTGCTGGGCGGAGGATGATTGCAAGTGTGTCGCAGAGGAGTGTGACTGAAAAAAAGTCTGTGAAAGTAAAAAAATTATAAAAGTACTACTGCAACTACTAAGTTAATTGTCATCATTACTGACCAACAAGTCGTTTATTATATATATTTGGAATGAAATTAGGGTGAGTTAATAATGACAACATTTAATTTTGGTGTGAAATTTCTCTTTGATTAAGTAAAGCTTGATATAAAATATGAGTATGCATATAGAAATCCGTCTAGTCATCGCTAAGCCCACCACCTCAGCAAAGCCTGAATGCATTATGATCCATGAGTGTCATAACTTACAGTAAGAGTGGGCTGATGCGTGACTGTCGCCAATGGGACATCAAGACTTGCTTTCCCATACTGCCACCTAGAGGACAATCGCCATGTGACCGATCGTATGAATATTCTAGAGCAGTATGAAGTATGTTTTGACCTTATCGTTTTTTTTTTTGTTTTTGTTTTTTGCACATAAAGATGACATGTTTGTTGGGGCTCGAACAAACCTGGGGAAACTGCTTTAAAAAATGTAATCTTACTATTATTAATTTGTTTATTTATTTTTTTTTACGTGTATTCATTTAGCAGATGCTTTTATCAAAAGTGACTTAGAGAAGAGTTTAGAGTTTAATATTGTGTGTGTGTGTGTGTGTGTGTGTGTGTGTGTGTGTGTGTGTACACATATATAACACAAAAGCATTATTACAGTGAAATGTAATATAATGCAAATGTGAAAATGTACAAATTTTAAATAAATGCAATTCTATGTACCTATAATGTTCTATGTAAATGTGGGATACAATATGATGTTGAATATGAAATGTGTCAGACCTCACAATAGTTTAATACTACAGTTTTTAGCATTTCTTTTAACCCTTGAAAGTAAAAGAGAAAAATTTATATTTTTAATTTCACATATTTTTTAACTTTAGAGTATCTCATATTAAACTCAAAGCTATTTTTAAATGAAATTACACTCTTAAAACTGATTTAAAATTAATTTATGCTTAATTCAGTCTGAAGAGTTATTCTGATCTGGCCCTAAAGTTTTGTCCGTCCGTGTGTTTTGATGGTGGGTTGATGAGATAGTGTTACAGGCTGTAATCCCTCTCTGTAAGCCTTTGGGTCAGTGCAGGGGCTCGAACCCCCCAAGAGCACTACACTGCCAACAGCTGAACCAGCAGGGGCCAACCTGACTGCTTCCCCTGAAACACTTCACACACACACACACACACACACACACACACATGTACACCCCCACATACACTGTCTCCCACACACACACACATACACAGTTACACACACGAGAATATGCCAGCCCTAACCTCAGAACACATATGAGCACACGCATTATCCTGTGAATGTGTGTGGTCTTAGGTCTAATGTTTTGTCATGGTAATAAATAATGATAATTACAAAGACCCCTGAAACAAGGATGTAGAACACACACAGGGTGATATATTGTGAATTACACTACAAAAACATACTGTGTGACTAAAAACACTACTGGTAGGAGTTGATAGGAACTGTAAGCAGTTGCTGTCCTGTTTTGTCTACCCATAATGTTTATGCCCAATATTACAGTTTTTCTCAGTCGCTTTCTCAGATCAGAGTTGAAATTCTGAAAACTTCAACAACGTCCAGATCATCTAGTCATTTGCGCACATCATTACAGTTTTTTACGATTGCTTACACACTAAAATTAAACTTTTCCAACAATTAGCAAAACCTTACACAATTTCTCATTCTTTGAACAAATTGCCAATGCTTTAATTCGTTCATGCAATTATGTACAGTTTCTTATACATTATCAATTGCCAGTTTTCTAAAATAGCTCAGAGGTGCATCTCATGAAGCTTCAGTTAGCAAGCATATATAGACAGAGGACAACTTAGTATAATTTCTTACAATGGAAGAACAACAAGAAAAACACTGTCAACAGCCAGGAAGAAGAAGAGGAGTGAGGATGTGTGGTGGAAGGGCAGGGAGGCAAAACAGAGGAAGAGGTAGAAGAGGCAAAGGACATAGGCATGTTTCTGATTAAATAAGGGCCACTATTGTGCACCATGTTCTCAGTCATGACCTTACGTGTGCAACTGAATATTGGGCATTCAAGCATTTCATATACAGAACAGTTACACATTTTACAGTATAGAGTAAATATACATTATACCAGCGGTGTAAAGAATTTGAGTAAATGTAATTAATGACTGTACTTGAGTATCTTTTGGATACTCTGTAGTTTTACTGAGTATCAAAGATATTAGAAACTTTTACTCTCTACTTCACTACATTTTTGAATAAGCATCTGCACTCTTTACTCCAGTACATTTGTAAGGAGTGTTGCAATTACACATTACATTTTGCATGGCACATAGCTTTTTCTGCAGCAGTTTATTTCTGCTACAAAATAAGTAATATCGCCAACTACAGGGCACTGAAAGTACTATATCTTGTGTGATTTGCCCTTACCCAATATTGTCAACAAGGCCATTAAATTGTCCATTAAATACCTATATTTAGTATAAGTAAAATAGTTAAGTACTGTTAAAATCAGATTCTCTAAGACTTTTATTCAAGTTGTTTTGGAATTGGTGACTTGTAAATTGTAGTGGAGTAATTTTCACTGTAAGCTATCTGTACTTTTATTCAAGGGTGGTTTTCAGGTACTCTTTACACCTCTGCTTTATACAGATATTCTTTTATGTAGTGCATTGACATTGTACTGTAAGTTGTTGTCAGACCACCTATAAAATCATAGGCCTACGTGTGAATCCTGTCAGGTTTCTTGAGATCATTATCCCATATATTGTAATACAGTATGTACTGCTGAAATTGATAGAATTAAAACCTTACAGAAAGAAAAGTGCACTGTTTTTGGCGTATCAGATAGAGATAGATAGATAGATAGATAGATAGATAGATAGATAGACGTCCAAACATCGTCTGTGGCTTCACTTCCCACTTTATGTGGTCACTGTATGTAAAAAATGAAAAGGTTTCGTGTTAGAGAGCACTTTGAATTGGCACCATCCATGTCGGCATGCGTAATAAAGCTAACAGCAATATTACGGCAGCAGGACTCGACCTGATACTCCACCGTCCGCTCACACAGCTGACTGACTGCCTGACTGACTGACTGACTGACGGGACGCCAGCACAACGACACACACCCGGAAAACACCCGCCGTTCAGCATGGAGCGAAAAGTGGCGAAGGAATTTCGGCATAAGGTGGGCTTTGAAACGTCTACTGTCTAATTAAAAATATGCGATGATTGTTTTGTTAGCATTATTGGTTATTATTGGTCTAGTTCCTTTGCTCTCGCTGCTCAGGAATGGCGAAGGAGCATGCATTCTTCATTTTTACGCTATAAAATATTACTAAAGTAAGTAGAATTGATATTCGCCCAGCTTTCGACACGAAAAGTACTCCTGTATCCATAGAAACCGTCGTTATTTGATCGGTTAACTTTGTTTTGCACTGAAAAGGTAGCATAATTTGCCAGTTGTAGAAGTTTTTATCATTACAGTTAACATGTTACTAGTATAGTTTAATGATTTCGACGTAATGACGTATTTAGCCTAATTTTATTACTTTACTTAAGTCAGAGGTTCACATAAAGGCGTAATTTACCGGTAGAAAGGTATGCAATGTGTGGCGTCACATAATGTACGCGTTCTGATTGGCTGAGGAGGTGACAGGTGTGTGCTGGAAATAGTTGTACAACAGGTATTAATTACTTTTTATCTCCTAAACGTGAAGTTAACACTTCGTTGTAGTTGCATTACAATTTGAATTTACACTGAATTATTTCATTCTGATAGCTATTTATATGCTCATGCTTATTTTTAAGACACCATATGACCCCTGTGTGTAATTGTAGAATTGTACCATCTGTTGTGTGGTGCATGGAGTTACACAATGGACAGTTTTTTTCACAGTATTAGCTGAAGTGACAGAGATGTGTGGCCAGGCGGAAATGAGTGCTGCGTTTATTGTTCAGCCGGTCTTATTGTGTGTAGATGGGGGTGGGAAAGCTGTGCCACACTACAAATTAGAAAGCTTTGCATTTCATTTTGGTTTCTACTCTATGACATGAAATGCATTGCGCTGTTGACCTTTCTGTTCATTAGTCTCTTTCAAATCACTTAGCATAAACTGAAGAGGATATGAAGCTGCTTTTAGTTATAGATATCTGCTTTCAGCATCATTTTATAAAGGTGGACTGTCTGTCATCTGGGCTTATTAAAATGTTTATGACAGCCTTTGAGTGCACAGTCACTGTTTTATTATATGTGGCTTGACATTTGGTGTTGATATGGAACAAATTGGATATGCTTTTTATTTCCCCACAGTGTTCATATAGTTCACAGACGTATTCATTTATTATGAATATTTTTTTTTTAATAATTAAAATGTTCATGTAATAGGTAATTATATAACAAAATTAAAATACAAAAATAAAAACGTTACCATTTTTATTTGCATTTACATTTAACTTCTTGTATTTGAATAATTAAATGTTGTTCTTGTTATTTAATTGTAAAATATATTAATCCATTCATCCAACCATGCACATATTTCTTTTCGTTCTTTCTTTCTTTCTTTCTTTCATAATGCCCATTTTATTTATTTGTTTGTTTTTTAAGCCATTTTATGTTTGTTTTGTTCATCCATTCATTTTTGTTTGTTCATTCAGTCCATTTAATTAGTGAATTAATTTGTTTGTTTGTTTGATTGTCTGTTTTCAAGCCATTTTTGTTTGTTTTGTTCATCCTTTTGTTTTTGTTTGTTCATTCAGTCCATTACATTTATTTGTTTGTTTATTTAGTTATTTGTTTGTTTATTTATGTGTTTGTTTGTTTGTCCAGACACTTTATTTATTTGTTTGTTTGTTTTGTTGGTTCATTTGCTTGTTCATTCATTCAGTCCGTTCAGTTTCTTTGTCCAGACATTTATTTGTTTGTTTTGTTCATTTGTGTTCATTCATTTTATTGATTCATTTGAAATTAAGAAGTTTGGCTTTTCTGTCGAGCATGTTAACCTCACATCACATTAACTTCATTAGCATTCTTTTGATAATAATGCACCAACACTCTTATGTAAGATGACACTGCTAGCATGATAAATGTCTTTATATGAGCTCAGGAACAGTTCAGTGGAGCAGATCTGAACTAATGATACTCACAATACAAGAAAAGATCCACCTGACCTATTCAACTAAAAACAACAGCAGACCCAGCCAATCTGAGAGACGCTTGACTAACAGACACAAAACAGTTCCTCCACCTCCTTTCTCTGTCCCGACCTCTCCTCCTCACTCCACCTTTTCCTGACCTTCCATCTTAGTCTCTCACTCAGTGAGAGAGAGAGATGTGTTACATCATTGACTGGCCAAAACGCTTCCTCAAAACATTTCTACAGCAGATTAGCCACCACCAGGTAAAAGATGGGCAAATGATTGCTTTTCTGATTATCAGTGATGATCTGACCAGAGGTTTGTGTGTTTGTGCTGTGCAGGTGGAGCTGCTAATTGATAATGAAGCGGAGAAGGACTATCTCTATGATGTTCTCCGCATGTACCACCAGTAAGTACACTCTAAAATATTTAATAATAATAATAATAATAACCTTAGAACACATAGTCACAGTTTTATAACATGTGGCCTGACATTGGTGTTGATTTGGAGCAATTTGAATATACTTTTTTATTTCCCCACAATATTCAGTATAATAATTCAATATAGTTGACTGACTTATTCATTTATTATGAATAATATTTTAGATTTATAATAATTAAAATATTAATGTAATAGGTCATTATTATTAATACATTTTTAAATCTAAAATAAAAAAATAATAAAAGTTAAATTAATAATAATAATAATAATATGATTATTATTAGTGTTTGCTGTTATTCAAAATATACAATATAAAAAGAAGAATAAAAATAATAATTATTATTGTTGTTGTTAATAAAATATACACTATAATATAATTATTATTGTTATTGTTAGTAATAATAATAATAATTATTATATTGTATATTTTGAATAATAATAATGTTGTTGTTTTGAACTGCATATGCCCCAAAAAATGCAAATTGATGAGCAATTTGTATTACTATAACTCAGATTTAGGGTTAGCAATTTGAACAAACTACTTAGCAACCACCAGAACAACCTAGCAACCACTTAGAAAACCATAGCAACCAGAAAATATAAACTGTTTTATTGCAGTTGACAGATATTACATACTTCTTCATTAAAGTGAATGTTTTAAAATGTGATAAGAATATAAATGGAATACAAATATCTCAGCAGCAGTAGTGCATACTGGAAAGTTTTAGAGGCTGATAAATAATGTCATTTTCCATCAGTAGTTCTGGTAATCTATTGATCAAATGAAAACTGCATGGCACATTCAGAAGAAGAAAAGTATTCAGTGTCTGTCTATCTGAGTGTAACAGTAGGAAATGCTGAATGCATTCCCTCAGCTCTTTATTTGTGATCTTGTGTGTAAATCAACACATCGTTTCTCAGCTGGACTGGAATGAGAGGCTTAATCCAATGGAAAAGTAACTTGGATCAGATCATTTCCACTGTCCTCCCTTCATTCAAGGGCAGCCATTCTCTTGTATCCCTTTGTCTCTGATATATGAGTCAGGAGTGAAATATCAATGATTCATAGAGCAGCTGCCTCGAAATTCATAAGCTGACTTTATGTGGGTATAAAGTGTCATTTTCCACAACAAGCAACAAATCAGACTGTTGTTGAAATAATTATTATAAGCTAATATCTTTCAAAATCACAGCAAATACTTTCATATAGGCTAGAAATGCCATTGATGACCAAATTAATTTTGCTCTTTTTTTTATTTATTTATTGTTTTGAAATATGTATATTACCTCTTTGAATTGACAAATATTGGAAGAATATAATATCAGGGCTTTTTTTCAGTTCAAATTACATTTTCCAGCTTTCTATGCGTTTTTATAAAAAGAAAAGCCAAATTTTTCTTGAAGCATGTAAAATCCTTGAAAATAATAATAATAATTTCGGCTATAAATATCAGCCAACATTTCTGACAGTGCATCGCTAATTTTCATTACCATAGTATACTGTAAAAACACTCAGTATAAGATTTAAATCAGTATTTCTTACATTTATATCATGATGTATTAACTTTCATGATACGGTAATGTGAATGAGGCTGTATTTTGCATTACAGTATTGAGAACTGGTGGTAAAATGTTGTTGTATTATTTTATAAAATGTCAAACTATAAAATGTTTTATACATTTTTATAAAATGTAAAATAATTTTCTTTTAAATCTTGACAACAGTAATTGTTTTTGCAATTCTGTTTGGTGGTGCAGAATTTAGACACTTATTCTATCCTAACCTTATTCTATGAACAATTGCTTTATGCTTTATATTCATGACCTTTCATTTAACTTGATGGAAAATATTAAATAATGATTTATGAACAGAGATTCGGTATCAAGACAGTATGTTGAATCAGTTGTAGTCTAAGGAAAGTTATTTTAATCCACAAACTGTTTGTGCTGTTTTAATGTAGCCCTCCTGTTTGCATGTGCTCAATCAGGTCCTGTTTAAATCACTCTGCTCTGCCCTTTATAGATCCATGGACATTCCTGTCCTGGTCGGCGACCTGAAGCTGGTGATAAATGAGCCCAAACGCCTTCCGCTGTTTGATGCCATCAGACCTCTGATTCCTCTGAAGCACCAGGTGCAGTACGACCAGCTCACGCCCAAGAGATCCAGGTGAGAGAGGAAATCAGGAACACAGACAATAATGAGGTGTTAAACAGGGGTTAACAGGGTGCGATCCATCTGAGAATCATGGAAATGTTTCTGTGCATGAATAGCAGAGGAATAAAGACAGAGAGAAAGAGGACATTGGAAATGAGAGGACGAGGTAGAGTGACAGGCAACGCTCTCATCACCAAACAGAATCATTGTTTTCTCTCATTCTCAGTCAGACGTGGCAAAGGAACAGCGTTATGAGCACAGAGAGAGGAGCGCTATTCAACTGTGTCTGATTCACAGCGCTAATAGGGCCACAATGAACTGGATTCGGTTACCTCTCGTTATGTCTTTTGTCTTTCTCAGAGAAAAGAGGAAAGAAGAATCAAAATATGATATATTTTATTATAATATATATCTGGGTTATTATAGTTAACTAAAAATAAAACTGAAACCGTTAAAAAATATTTTCATTACTTAGAATAAATGAAAAGTTAACAGAAATAAAGTAAAATATGAAAAACTTAAACTTATTTTATTTTAGCTAGTTGACAAGGCAATTTCTCATTTTCATTGTTTATTTACTAATGCAACTAAAACTAAAAATTAATAAAAAATATACAGACATACTTAGAAAAAAAATACAAACAAAAATAACTAATAAAAATGACCTATTTTTAGGGATATTAATATATTAAATAGTATAGTAGATTATAAATACATACATCCATATACTGTATGTGTGTGTGTATATATATATATATATTATTAGAATTGGTGGAGCATGATACATTTCATTAAATATATTCACTACACAATAGATATGTTAAATGTGGTCAACTGATTGTAGATGCCACTATTTTGTCCTCTTGTTATGAGCAGGAAGTTGAAGGAAGTCCGTCTGGATCGCACACATCCTGAGGGTCTGGGTTTGAATGTTCGAGGTGGGCTGGAGTTCGGCTGTGGCCTCTTCATATCACAGATAGTCAAAGATGGACAGGCAGGAAATGTCGGCCTACAGGTAACAAAATCAAGAAGAGGTTGTTATAGCTTACATATAGCACGTATTGCTTTCACCGTTTCAGCAAATAATGTCCTGTGTAGCAAATGATGGGTCACGTTTGTAAAAGCTAAAGTACACACTCTCTTGCCTTATATTAAATATCTGACAACAGAAAATGTTAAACATTCAGTTTGAATTGAGTATTTAACATGGGCTGCACAAATAAAGTGATCAGTGCACCTTCTCTCCACTAGAGGGCGCAATAAGCCTTCTTAAATTCTTCATGTTCTCTGATCCAAACACACTGTTCTCGTTCTCTTCTGTAACCTCTATGATTAATGTTTGTCCTGCAGATAGTCAAAGAATTCAAATGCAGCCCTTGTGTTTCTAGTGCAAACGCTGCTAATTTTGTGATGACAGAAGCTTTGAAATATGAAAATATTCTGGTATAATGAAAGTATTTTTAGTACTACATTTTTATACAAATTTTATATAACATATTTTATATGAATGAGGTTTGCTGTGTTTTCTTCAGGTTGGCGATGAGATTGTGCGTATTAATGGCTACTCCATCTCCTCCTGCATTCATGAGGAGGTCATCAACCTCATCAAGACCAAGAAGACTGTGTCTCTGAAAGTCCGCCGTAAGGTTTTATATGAGTTATACAACAGTTTGTATAATAACAGTTGTATAATAACCGTTTTTTTTTATATTTATACAACAGTTTGACGGAACATGTGTGTAATTAAACAAGAAACAACGGAGTGCCTAATAAAACCCTCTTTTGTGCGGAACTACTTCCTTCCGCCACGGATTCAAAGCTCAAGTTGACAGTTACACATACGTCACTTTTAGAATTCGTATCAAGGGCATGTGCTGCTTCAGTTAGGTTATTAGTGAGAAATAATGAGGTTATAAGAGAGAAACAATGCGGCAAGACGTGAATCCAAATGAGAGAGAGAGAGAGACCGCGAAGCTAGACGTTTCTTCTTATATTAACTAACGTACTCTACGATTAGCTCAGTGAATAATTAAAAAAAACATAGACCCGGCTAGAACAAGCGGAGTGATACAAAATTGTGAAAGGGCGTTCCTGTAGCGATACCAGTACAATATCTCACGGTTCTCAACCAATCAGATTTGAGAACCAGAACGAACTGTTGTATAAAGTTTTATATTGTAATCTGCAGAGCTGACTTTGTTAATTAGAGCCAAAATTAATTGCCTCTAGTTCCACTGGGGTTAATTAATTGATTTAGCTGTAGCTCTCAATTGCAGTGACTCAATCACAGTTGAATTGTGATTGATTTAACAGTCGAACAATTCATGAGGAAACCATGTCTTCCTCAGAGAATTCATTATTGGGCCTGCTGTTAGCTAAATATATTACTTATTCATTAATTATTGATGTTTTTTGTTTTTATTATTCCCATTGTGACACTCTCTTCACAGATGTGGGAATGATTCCTGTCAAGAGGTAATTTGGTGTTATCAGTCACTTGAATTACACAAAATTCTATAATATGTGGAATAACTTTTATTAATGTTCCCTCTTTTGTTTATTTCCATAATGATATTGCTAAATTATGAATTTGTCATAATCAGCTCCTCCGAAGACCCTCTGAAGTGGCAGTTTGTGGATCAGTTTGTTTCTGAATCCGGGGTAAGTGTTTTCTTCTGGCAGCATCCTATTTTAAACCAGCTCAAGTTATATTTTTATTTAGCCCTATTTTTATTGTTACCTCTCAGGAGAAGAAGACTAGTGTGGCTGGTCTGACTTCGATTGGAGGAAAAGAAATCAAGGAAAAGAAAGTATTCCTTAGTTTGGTGGGCACCAAAGGCATGGGAATCAGGTAAACGAGAGATTGGATTACTATAACTATACACACTACAGCACACAGATGAGCTACATTGAAAATTATGAATAAAACCATTTATTTATTGGGATTATGCCCACATATGTGAAAAATGTCATGAAGTAAACTGCATAAAAATATGTTTGTCTTTGTACTTAAATGCTGCTGTGTTCCTTTGCTGTCTTCACCAAACTTTATTGTTTTGATTTGAAACTTACTTTTATAAGTTTAATCTTTTGACTGTCCATTATAGCATATCGAGTGGACCAACACAGAAACCAGGCATCTATGTGAGCAATGTGAAGCCGGGTTCAGTCTCATCTGAAGTGGGATTACAGGTCATTTTATTGAACTGCATTAATAGACCATTACTGTTGTATTTTAGAGTAGTAACACACTCATGTGTGTGTGTGTGTGTGTGTGTGTGTGTTGTTGTGGCTTGTAGGTTAGCGACCAGATTGTGGAGGTCAATGGGGTGGATTTCACCAACCTGAGTCATCAAGAAGTGAGCAGGATTTTGCTGAAACAATTATTTAAGAACCTCTCTGCATAGCTAAACCGGTAACTGTGTCGGTTAATACTTGTGTTTTCAGGCAGTGCGAGTGTTAAAGAGCAGCAGGAGTCTAACCATCACTATCCTCACTGGAGCTGTAAGTTCACTGAGAGCCCACTAATACATCTTAAAGACCCACTGCAAGGCTTTTATCTCTCTCTTAGGGGCTGTGTGGAAAAGAAAGCCATTTGCTTAGTATGAAACTGTTTAATTGACAGCTGAGGGTAATATATTGTGGAGATGTTGTTTGTATTGTACTGTAAACCTCTTCATTATTTATTGGTGTGTTTGTCTTTAACTCTTACTTTTTCCCTTTAGAGATGGTAATTATGTAGAAGTTTCATAACATAAGCTTTTGTGATTCAGGCGTGTGATCTGTAGAATATACTGTATATATATGATTGAAGGGGTGTATTTATGTGTATATATCTATGAAAGTACTGATTTGTCTACTGTATGTTTCAGGGAAGCGAGCTGTTTATGACGGATGAGGAGCGGCTGGCGGTTGAAGCACGACGTGAGCTCGAAAGACAAGAGCTAATGCATCAGAAGAGAGTGGCATTAGAGACCAACAAAATCATCAAAGAACAGCAGGGGAAAGAGCGCCAGTCAGTGAAAAAACACACACACACACACAACTGAACACTACACAAGCTAAGCCCTATTCAGACAGTTCTCTTCAAAAATAAAGTTAAAATATTAGGTACTGTTGTCTTGTGGTTAAAACAAAAATTAATACCACTTTATAATGGTTTTCATTATCATTAAAATATTTCTTTATGTTGTATAATGTACCTAAATACATCATTGATTACGTTTTAAAAGAAATATAATTAAAATTGTTATATTATATAAAACATGTGAGTCTTTGCTTTTTCATGATGTTAGTAATCTGATGATTCATAACTGCTGATGAAAAGGTGTCAAATAATTAAAATTCCTGAATGGAATCTGAAAAGTTATAAATGTTAATGCTTCATATGTGTAATATTTTGCAGGAGGAAGATGGAGATATCGCAGAAGACTGCAGATGAAGAGGAACGCCATCACAAAGAGATGGAGAGGTAACACTTGTGTTATGTTGCTAAGCAAAAACATCTTCAAAGTAAATGGACCTCAGAAGGCAGACTAGAGTAAATTGATGTTGATGAAAGCAATGCTGTGAGGAATGGAAGTACAGATTGTTCTATAATATGCTGTAGGTCACTTCTAGTTTTCACAGACCATGTTTTGGTCCAGTGGAAATGTGTTATAATTGTAAATAAAATGTATATATTTGGAAATGCAGAACATATAATCCGGATATATTATGTCTACATCCCAATTTAATTATATTTTATTATCAGGTATGTCAAGAGACATTTTTTTAAATGAAAATATTATGCCTATACATCCTGTATACAGGTATCAATGCAAATATTGTACTATATTAATTATTGTAAGTGCATCTGGCTAATCTAAACCAAAAGGAGTATTTAAAAAAAAAAAGGCTGGCTGTGGGATAGGGAAACTGTCAAGAACATCATCTGTTTACAAATAGTGATTTTTCTGAGATAATTGCAGCAGCATATCATGGACAGCAACAATGAAAGCAACAATAATTAATATAGTACAATGTCTGCATTGATACATGTACAGGATACATAGGCATACTGTTTTCATACAAAATCAGTAAGAATATCTGCCTATATTGACATGCTTAATAATAAAGATATATTTATGTTGAGATGTAGACTATATATTCAGATTTGCATTTATATACTCAAGATTTATAAGTATACATTCTGATTTACAATTATATGGTCAGAATAATAACTATATATTCACAATTTACATTTATATATTCAAATTTACAACTATATTTTCGGATTAAATTGTATTTATTCAGACTTTGTTTTAACTATATATTCAGATTAACTTCTATACATATATTCATGATTTGTGTTCATATATTCAGTTTTTTATCTATATATTTAGACATCTGTATATTGCAACTTTTATGTATATATTCAGAATTATAAGTATATTTTCACAATTTACAATTACATATTCAAACTTAAAACTATATATTAAGATTTACTTCTGTATATTAATGATTTACATTTTTATATTACAATTTGTATCTATATATTCAGACTTATAACTATATATTTGGATTTATACTGATTAACATTTATATATTCAGATATATAAATAAATATATTCTGATTTACTTCTATATATTCAGAATTAAAACTATATATTCTGATTTACACATATATTATGATTTATAAATATGTATTCAGATTTACTTCTATATATTCACAATTTACATTTATATATTCATTATATATAATTATTTCCTGTTTGGCACTTCATAATATATATAGGCTTGTCAGGATAGATGTTCATTGAAAGGCACAATATGTAATTTTCGCCGCTAGAGGGCGCGTATTCAAAGTAAACAAAGAGACAACGGCGTAGCCACAGTCGACCGCTTCCGCTCCTTCCGGTCGTGCGTATGTGGGGAAAAAAGCTGCGCTGTTTTATCATACTAGATACATTTGCAAGATCTGTTATTATGCTACTCTGTGCGGTCGTCACCGGTCTATTAAAACGCACAACCTATTAAAGCTTCTTTGGAAATCGAGGGGTTATGACACAATTACACTATGGACACGGTCCGTGTCACTATTTAAAATTGCTTATTTCTCTGGATTTAAACATTCTTCGAAACATTTGGGATAATGTAAGTACACAAGTCAGCAAAATATATAACACTGTTCTAGTGGTTTTTGGATATTAATAAAAAAATCTTACATATTGTGCCTTTAATGTATGTGTCGTGTGTCTCAGAATTGCAGCCGCGGAAAGGAAGCACTACAAAGACTGGGAAGAAGATTGGGGTTCCAAAGAAAAATCCAAATCTCTTTCCCCCTCCCCACCTCCCTCACCCCCACCACCTGCACCTTCACCTTCACCTAAACCCAAAACCTCCAGTAAGTTGACAATACCAACAAAACCTCTCCAGTGCATGAACTTTGATTGCCCTCAGTAGAACTTCACTATTCTCTAAAGATCAAACAACTATGTTATCCTTTCCAAAAAAGGTAACCATAAAACATGTTGCATTTATGTTACTCCTTTCTCCTTTGCATGAACAGATGTGCATTTATGTTGGGAATGCATCATCTCTTTGTGTGATCTTTGTCTTTCTATCTGATCTTTTCCCTTTTTGTTGTGCCGTGTCTATCAATTCCTGTTTCCATCAGCTGCTGAGTCCTATGAAGAAGAGAATGGAGAAGTAAGTGAAGAATTCAGATGGATTTACAGACAAATATTCTCTTTGACAAACTTTTGAGACACTTCAACTGCATGTAGACTATATTTTGTTTGGCTGGATCTTTTGGTGGCTTTTAGATGGATGAATCTGCAGAATACACCATATCATGGTTGAGTTTTTGCATGGGACTTAATGTATCATTCTTGCTGTCTTAGCGTTCGGTTGGTTCTACCGTTACGAAGGAAAGTTGCCTACACTCAAAAAGGTACATTGTGTGCTGCAAGCATGTTGTGCTGGTTTGGTGTGCTATAACTATGGAATATGTTGTTCATCTTGGAGATATGCCTGAAGTTATGATTTGCATGGTAGTTGGGTTGACCTTGGTGAAAAGTCCACCAGGTGTTCTCAAATCACTTTGGATATTTAGAAAGGAAAAGAGACCAAAAAGAAGAAGAAGATGTCGAAGACTGACACTCTCCCAGCTGAGAAAAAGAACAAGAAAGAGATGGAGTTTGAGCTGAAACTTGCAAAGGAGAAGGAAGAGATACTTGAGCGAGAGAAGCAGATGAAAATCAGCAGACTTCTGCAAGAGGTATCAGACTTCTTCCAGTGAGGTTACAGTAGGGTTTTCTGACTCAGATTGTATTCCTTGTTTAATTGTGTGTAATTTATTCACTCTCCTTTGCACTTGACCTTTATTGGTCAAATGTCCTCATTTGAACAGTTGTACCCTTTCCAATGCCATTTCAACAAGTTCTTATTGGTATATGAAAGTTTCCATGTTTGGGTGTGGCTTTACTAATTCCACTAGGTGTCAGAAACTGAGAGGGAAGATCTGGAAGAGTCAGATAAGGTGCAGCATTGGGTGGAGAGGCTCTGTCAAACCAGACTAGAGCAAATCTCCTCAGTTGAAAATGATTCTCCAGAGGTAAAATCCAATGAAGTGTGTTGGTCTTCTAGTCCATAGTTTGTTAATTCAGAGTTATAAGCATTCAAAATTTACCTCCAGATGTCTCCAACTCGTTCTCCAGTGTCAACTGGTCCCACCAATCGGAGGTTCCCTGGAGGCTTGACCTTGGCCACTACTGACCTTGATGACATCAACTTAGATGATGTGGACCAGAGTCTAAGGCATCCTTTGAAAAGACTAGCCCCGACTCCACCTACATCCAACCAAGCACCCACTCCCTTACCACTCCCTCCACCCTCACCCCGACTTTACCACACATCCAACCATCGACCTCCATCTCCAAGAATGCAGCTCCCAATGCAACCCAGTCCCAGACCAACCCCTCAACACCCACCTTCTCCACTAGCCACAAGGGTACCCCCTTCCTCAATAGGTCGTAGCCGGCAACCCCCAGCCACCCCACTATTCTCCTCCAGGGGTCTGTCCTTATCTCAGCCACCTCCCCCGCCACCACCTCCTCCCCCTCCACCACCACCGCCTCCTCCTCCACCACCTCCTCCACCCCTGCACATGGAGGACAAGTACCATGTGGGGCCGTCCAACTATCCCCGCTCCCCAAGCTTATCCGAACAGGGAAGCAGGTTTGGGGACAAAGGTTACCGACAGAGAGGGGGCTTCCACTCCACCATTCCCAGTCATCTCTCACGCCCACCCAGCCCGAAGGCTGACCACAACTTGACGGTTAGCATAGTTAACACATTTGGGAGTGTGAGAGTTGATTATGTATGTCGTATAGTGGTGGGAATCTTTAGGCACATTATAATTCAATCCAATTCGATTCCAAAATTGATTTCATGACACAGGAACATTGCTCTTCACTGAAGTAAACACTGCAATCTACCTGTTTTTTTTATCCACCTCTTATGTTGTACATACATGCATGCATTCCTTGAGTGTGGTGTTTTGCAGATGAGATTAACCATTATTAATTTCTTAAAGATATTTGTCAGGAAGCAGATCATCATTTTGGGAGAAAAGCATGCTGTCATTCGCTTTGATGATCTTGCAGTGCTAGTGATTCCTATCATTGTTAGACTGTTGAAAAATGTATCCTTGTGGCCCAGGTGATGAGAAACACATCACATGCTAGTAGGACGTCCACCTCTAATAATCCACTGGTGAGTCCTCAGTTTGTAAAAGATACACGCTACACTGGGTCTTCCACTCCATTTTAGCACAAAACAGACTTAACCGCGCTTGTGTAACATATGTAATGTTAACTTAATGCAAACTGGCATCTCTTTGCAGAGGAAATATCTTTCAACAGCTCTCCATGCCTATATCAGGAGATTACTCTGAAACCCCACAGCAAGTGCATTTCTAAATGGATATAGTTGGCACATATCTTATACACTCTCAAATAAAAAAGAGAATAGGGTACCAAACTGTCACTGGGGCGGTACCATTTCATAAGGTACTAATATACCATTTAGGGGTAAATAAGGAACAAAAATGTACCGTTTTACCTGTTGTCCAAGATTTAAGGGGGAATTTTATAAAATCGTAACTCTTTGAACTGTTTTATAGATATGTGTACCTCCTTTATCCATAGGATTTATTTGGGAAGTAATGAAATTTAAAAAGCCATTTCACAAAAAGTCATCATTACTAGAAAGGCAATGACTGACATTTTGCATGAAAAACGTCGTTTGCTGAACGTGAAAGCTGCAATTCAGTATTTGTGCTATATGAAAGGTTTCTAAAGTATTTTGTGCTTTGTGGTTTAGATTGTGTAACTCTTGAAGGTATATCATGCCCTGACCTTAAGTTTGTGTCGCTTACTGCTAACCTCTACATAGCGAATTGCCCCCAGCCCTCCAAACCAGCGGAGACAGATCAACCCTGTCATGTCCAAACCTGTCATGCTACCGAGTCAGACCTCACATAGACCCACACTTCGCTCTGAGACCATGGTAAGATGGCAAGTACCTGTGTGTATACATGCGATGATTAGGCATATATAAGCTACTGGATCTTTACGACTTTGACTCATTGGTTTAATTGTTGTGCCAATAGCTGTCTGACTCACTCATTATAATGAGTTTCTCAAACTCAAGGAGGACCAAATAGATGCTGTTGTTACTGATTGCACTGATTAAGAAGGCGGAAAGAGAAGGACAGGAGGGGAGAGAGGTGAAAAGAGAGATTATTTTTCCATCTGCGTACACAATGAGACTTTTAGCATTAAAATGTCTTTAATTGATCAGCCTGACAGACCTAGACCTGCTCTCCCCTTCCTCCTCCAGACAGTCAGGCCTGCTCCATCAGATCACAAAGGAAGCCAATCGCTCTGCCCTGTCCTTGTGCCTACTTAATTAAATTAATGGGTGCTTGCCAATTCTGTGGTTGTTTTAGAAGGGTAACAAGAAGGGCAAGAAAGGACCTCACCATCTTTAAGCAGTCAGTCAAGCAGTCAGTGTATTTGTAAAGCTCACAGATACCTAAATTCATAGATAATAGTTCATAGACCTATTTGCCATGCTGAGGCAAACCTTATATGGCATGTAATCAGATGGTGCAAGCATTTAATGTGTGTGTTATTGAGCCATAATTATGTGTGTTTCAGCCCCCAGAGATGCTCAAACGGATGGTCACATACAACACGTCCTTTAAATCCAGCAAGAAACAAGTAACTGTCATCATTACTTTGTGTTGAACTCCTCCTCTCTTTCAACACTCTGGTCCTTGAGTGAAATCTCAGCTGTCTGAGTGTATACATCTGCATGTGAAGTGTCTACTACATTTCTAACAAAATTTCCCTGGAGGATATTGGTCAAATGTATCCTTGAGGTAATTTAAAACTAGTTCCCTTTCGACAGAATTCACTTGCATTGCGTCAGTTGTTGATGCTTTGGGGAAACTGCATTTCTCTAAAATACTGAAGACTGTTCAATGAATCATGTTCATGCATCTGCATGAACAAATGGCTTTTCAGCCTGCCAAAACGGGTGAAGAAATTTGCCTATATAAATTGGTGCTGAATGCCATTTCATCAGACTCTTTCTCCTTCAGAGAGAAGATCATCTCCTCACTGACTCCAAAGAAGAATAAGAAGAAGCCTTCCTGCTTGTCGTGGAAGAGCCCCAGCAGTGGATTATGGTGCTGACATCAGTCTCAACTGAGAACTGCGTTTCTCCCTGTGGCTATTCGGTGAAAGATGAGTTCATGTCAGCCCAGATCCCATGTGCCACACTCTCCCCACAGCAAGAGGATTCCCCGGTACACTTTTCCCACGAGGACCAGCACCTCTCATCATGTCTAAGGGCTGCCCTCGACTAAAGATTTTTCTGAACGACTAATAGTCGTTTATTTTAAGAGATTAGTCGACTAATCACGCATTTATATTAATAAACCATATAATTCATAATGATGAGCCTTTAATAGCCTATAGCCTATCAGCGCTAAAGCGCACACATAAAACTTGCCACAGCGCACCGCAAAAGTAATTATTATGAATGCGTCAGGGAAAAAAGAGCAAGAAGACTGCCTTAATATCATAATAATTCATTGATAAACTAGTGTTTTCTGTGTTTTCAGCTGCAGTGATGAAGTCGACGACACTGACTCATCTCCACTGTGGACGTGCACGTTTCATACGGATTACATAATCTGAAAATATTTGTTTTCCATTTGAATTGGTTAATTTAAAAGTAGATTGTGCTTTCTATAGATATATGTTTCATGTCTGTGAGGCAAGCGCAGAGTTTAGGCCGTCAAGGACTATGTGACCTTGCCACTTTCTGTGGATTTTTTGGTAACATTTTCTATGAAGCCCATATTTATAATACATTATAAGGGTATTCTTAAGGCATTATAATGAATGCATAATGCATTATAAAAGCCCTTATAATATGTTATATCATCTTATGAATATTCATAAGAACAGTTTTAATGTTTTATAATATTTACTTATTTGTGGTTATAGCTTTTAAGAGTATGATGATTTATAACACACAGTGAACATGTTGCATCCACTTAAGTTACAATGGATTATATTTCTCATAGTTATAATGTATTATAAGTCTCATATCTTGCCATCTTTCTTATGCTACTTTACTTAAAGCCATCAAAGACCACGTATAAGTATAGTAATAATAATATTTTTTTCTCAAACAGCCATAAGATCAGATATCAGATCAGATGAATGAAAGACATATTTGCTTGGAACTATTTTTAACGTAATATCAGTTTGATTATTTTGATGGTTCCCCAACAGACAAACTGACTATAAGTAACTTTGCAAGTACGTTAAGATTCTACCAACCATAACCTTAACCTAAGGCTACTTATACTCTAATGAGAGTTAGTTGACATGTAGTTGCAAAGTTGCTTATAGTCAATAGACTGGGGGGACCATCAAAATAAAATGTAACCTAACATATGAACATTGCATTTTTTTTTTCAGTTGAAATTATTAACTAGCTCACATCAAAATTTATATTAGCCTCACAGGGAACACTCAAATAACACTCCACACCTAACCACTTACAAGATGTAGTAAGATACTGTGCAGATCTTAAATAAACAATGTCAAGATAGTCCATTATAAATGTAAAAATAGATTTTATATGGTGTTCATTGTTATAAATAATCATAATCTTAAAATGTATAACCACAAATGTGTAAGCATTATAATGTATTATAATTGTTTTTATAATTATTTATAAGATGATATAACATATTATAATGTCTTTTATAATGCATTATGCATTCATTATAATGCCTTAAGAATACCCTTATAATGTGTTATAAGTATGGGCTTCATAGAAAGTGTTACCGATTTTTTTTCCTGCAACTAAGCGACTAGTAAAATTATCAACTAAGCCTCTTCTCATCAACTAATGGTTAGTCAACTATTAGGGGGCAGCCCTAATCATGTGCTAGCAGTTTAGTCTTTTTTTTGGGGGTTCTGAGGAGGATTTCGCCAATGAAACCATGTCATTAGCGACTTCTGTTGCGGAGGAGTGGTCAGACCCCCGCCCCCAAACCCATCTGCGTCCTCACCAAGGCTGTTGAAGAGCTTGGTTTAGAGTGGTCGGCCCCGCCTGCAGCCGCCTCAATTAGTGGGTCCTGCAGCTGGGGCGCCACCAGCGAGGCCCCCAAAAGAGATCTGCCCCGTTCTTTTCAGAAGTTCACATTGAACTTAACCCCTACTCAACCTCACCACTGTTAACGGCGCTGAACAGAAAGAGGATGAGCAGGAAGCCGCACTTAAAGGGCTGTCGGTTATGAAGCTATCCCGTTGGGTAGTTGATGTAATAGCGCTGGCCTGTGCCTCCTTGGGACTGCAATGCCTTATTGGAGTGGTCCTCACCATCCACCTTTGCCAGATTCTATAATTTATATATCCCTGCTCTTCAAGCACAGATCTTATCTGCTTAGCCGTCTTTGACCCCTCCGAGGTCTATACAGCATGACTTTGACTTTGTCAGTCTAAACCCTGACTGTTCGGGCATCTTCTTCTCATTTTTAAGCAATCCTGCCCAAGTATGGGCTCTTGGCAGCTTATCCAAGATGGCTCCTTTATTCTGCCCTTATAGCATGGTGCTATTGGATTGCTTTCCCCAAAGCATCAGCAACTGCCGCAATGCAAGTGAACCATTTCGAAAAGGAACCAATAGAAACCGAGTAATGTAGATTTTATTCTGATCTTAGGTAAATGTCATTTATGTGTTAAACATTTATGTTATAAATATCTCTTTAAATACTCAAGGACATCAGATGTATGATTGCAATATTGTGCTTATTTCAGTTAAGACATGAACTGGTCTCACAGTGTGGATTAACTCAAATATATCTCAATTCAGCATCACACCTACAGGTGCATCTCAATAAATTAGAATGTCATGGAAAAGTTCATTTCAGTAATTCAACTCAAATTGTGAAACTCGTGTATTAAATAAATTCAGTGCACACAGACTGAAGTAGTTTAAGTCTTTGGTTCTTTTAATTGTGCCACGACATTTTAATTTATTGAGATGCACCTGTATATATTCCCATGCAGTCATCATACTTGTTTGCTGTAATGATACATCTTGTTTGCTGTGAAAGCAGCCTTTGAGTGGATCCCATGTGCACTGCACAAATGGGAGATTCAGACTGAAGGTTATATAATAGTAGAGTGCATATGCACCAAATGGCATCTCAGTGTGCATTTTCACTTTTTATGAGGTGGAGCAAGACCAGAGGTCTGTCTTTTTCCAGTTTGTTGGTTCTGTGAGTGTGAAACCTTGATTGATTATTTGTCTTGATGGAAGGTGGTTTTGAGTGTGTAGTGGATGGCAAAGAGCCTTTACATTGTACATAAACATCAGTGCAGAGCCAGAATCAACTGGAAAGCTACCAAAGGATCCAACAAAGCAAACACTTCCTTTCTCAGTATTAATATGTGTACCATGTAGTACAGTACTGTAGTAAATGATGCAATGTGTTGTACTGTTTCTTATATTATGTTACATTTATTTTCTGTTTATTGATTTTTTATATTGTTTAATTTTATATTTAAAATGAAAGTTGGTCAAATCTGACCTGGTTGTTTAATAACTACTTCAAATATGAACACAATAAGTGAAGTATTGTTCATTTGGATTTTCTTGGAAATCAATGAACACTAATTTGTTTCTGCTTAAACTGAGTCCTCAGATTGCCATCTCAGAGTTTTGCAGATGGAGTGTACGCCATTTTCTATTTTTCCTATCTGTTTTACAGGGATTTCAGAAATATGTGGATGATTTTGATCCATATTCCATGGTACTGTGTAACCCTTTACATTAACAGTTACTTTCTGTACCCGTTGCCATTTTCATATTTTATATCCTCTGGATTATTTCTTTCACCACATTTGCTCAAACTGTGTGTTTTAACAGTTCACGGCTGAACAAATAGCTGGCAGAGATGTGCGACTTTTGAGAATTAAGAAGGTAATTAAACAGACATGAGCAACATCTGTCATTGGACAATAAGAATTAGAGATTTTTGTTTATTCTATACACATTCTTTAGGAAGGAAAGCTTGATCTGGCCATAGAGGGAGGAATTGACTCCCCTTTGGGAAAGATTATGGTGTCGTCCATCTATGAGGGAGGTGCGGCAGATAAACATGGTGAGTCAAACAAAAATAACGTATCATAGAGATTTGGGAGTTCTTTTGATTTTAAGGTTCTAGCAAACACCCCAAACACCACAGCAGCTGCACATGAACACCATAAAAACTACTTGGAATCATGCAAAAGTCTAGAGCAGCTCTCTATATTCATTAGTTATACTGATTATATTGACTTAAAACATTTAGTTCTGTTTTAAAATTGCCTGGTTAGTTTGTTCAATTTGTTACTGTTATTTTTTGTCCATGTTATCTCAGGTGGTGTTGTGTCAGGTGATGAGATCATGGCTGTGAATGGAAAGATCCTGACAGATGTGACTTTAGCTGAAGGACAAACCTCATTGGCTCAGGCCTGGAACAGTGGAGGGGTATGACCGTCATTACAATAAAACAACCTGTCACTTTAAATCAGATAATCGGTCTATCCTCTGGAGTGAATGGGTGCCAACAGAATGAGAGTCCAAACAGCTGATGAAAACATCAAAATAATCCACACCACTCCAGTCCATCAGTTAACATCTCATGAAGCAAAAATATGTTTGTAAAAAAAAAATAAAAAAATCCAATATTAAGAAATTTTTTTACTTTAAACCATTGCTTCCGACTAAAATACTAGTCCTTTATTCATAATATTGCTTTCTCCAGTGAAAAAGTAATTGCAACGAGGTTCTTAGTAAGGAAGGAAGAAGTCGGAGTCAGCGTGACTGAGGCTCGTGGCAATTTATTATGGTTCCCTTGGGAACAGCAAAAACAGGCAGGCGCTTCAAAATATCCCGGTCCTCCTGTTGCGCCTGCATCAGCGTGCGGAAACGACGTTCCTGGTCGTCCCGCATTTCCAGCAACACCTGATGCTGCTCTTGGTGGAGGCCGGCGAGCGATTGTATCACTTCCGCAAACGGCGAACTTGGCGGTGACTGCATGATGGCAGCGGCCGGACTTCTTCCATGAAGCAAAAATATGTTTGTAAAAAAAAAATAAAAAAATCCAATATTAAGAAATTTTTTTACTTTAAACCATTGCTTCCGACTAAAATACTAGTCCTTTATTCATAATATTGCTTTCTCCAGTGAAAAAGTAATTGCAACGAGGTTCTTAGTAAGGAAGGAAGAAGTCGGAGTCAGCGTGACTGAGGCTCGTGGGAATTTATTATGGTTCCCTTGGGAACAGCAAAAACAGGCAGGCGCTTAGGCGCTTCAAAATAAACAAAACTTATATTGCACTTCTACGGTTCTCTAGCCACAGGCCACAGTCTTTCCCCACGAGTCCTCAGTCTGTCTCGCGCCTCTCTCTCTCTCTCTCCCTCTCTCTCTCTCTCTCTCTCTCTCTCTCTCTGCTCCTTGGGAACAGCGAAAACAGGCAGGCGCTTCAAAATAAACAAAACTTATATCGCACTTCTTTGGTTCTCTAGCCACAGGCCACAGTCTTTCCCCACGAGTCCTCAGTCTGTCTCGCCTCTCTCGCTCTCTCTCTCTCTCTCTGCTTCCCCTGAGGCTTTTTACAGTCTCTCCAGGCCAATCACTGAAACGAGAAGCAGGTGAATGTAATTTTGCACTTGACCTACTTACTCACCGCTCGTCTCCGACCACTCTCTCCCGCTGCAGACTCCGCTAAACCACGCCCCCCTCACCACAGTAATCTTGTCTGAAACAGGAGAGAAAAATGCACAGGTCAGTGAAAACAGTGAAAAGTCCAAAACAGCTTTTTATTTCTGATAATTTAAAGGTAAAATGCCTTAATGATATTTTTTTTTTCTTACGAACACGCTTCACAAGACATTAATTGATGGACTGGAGTCATGTGGATTATTGTGCTGTTTGAACTCTCATTCTGACAGCACCCATTCACTGCAGAGGATCCATTGGTGAGCAAGTGATGTAATG